ACCTCCCGCTGCCTCTGTCACTTCTTTGCCGCAGACAGAGCTGGTAGGAGCAGACCTGCCTCCTCTGAAGCAGTTGCCACATCTACTGTCGGTGCTGAGTCAGCGCCTGCAGCTCTCCAGGTGCCCCAGCAGCAGCTGGATTATTTCCATGCCAAGTTACTGTCCCTGGTAAACGAAACTGCCCCTGGGGGAATGTCTTCCCTGGGAGAGCTTTCTGTCGTCAGGGGATAGAGTTTAAGCATGTGGGTTTTCCACCCAGGGGAGTTTTGTGCGGCACGCCTGAGCAAAACGCAGCAGCTCAGAGGCGGCTCCGGGAGCTTTCAGCTGCAGCAGGTCCCGGGGAGGAGTTCACTTGATGAGCACCAGGCAACGGGGAGACACCGCACACCTGAGAGCATCCCCCAAACAAGCAAACCCCGCAGGGGTTACGGTGAGCTTCAGATGTGCTCATCCTCCGGGCAGAGCTGGATCGCACCCGCTCCGTCACTCCTTGCCCTCCAAGTCCCATGTCTCTGTCATGGAGCAGCAAGAAGGAGAAAACACAGTTCTTTGTTTTCCTCCTTGTCTTTTTTTTCTTTTTAAATGACTGCCACAAAAGCTAGCTGAAGAGCTTAGGAGCAGCTGCACTATCAGAAATTACTTTTACCTCATTAAAAAAATTTATCCTTTTACCAATGAGAGCAGCAGAAGGGAGATTAGAGCTTCTAGTGCTTTGCCGGGTGTTACTTAGTACCTGTGGATCATTACATTGATAAAAATATGTACAGACTCACTTTTCAGGTTTAAAAGTGTTTTGTCCTTTTGTTTGCTTAGCTAAATAAAGAGGTTTTGTTTGACCTGTGATTTTGAATCCAGCTGGCTTTTCAATATACAGTGACTCATACAAAGCAGCCTGCAGAGTCAGTCTCCTTTCCACCATTACACCGCTGATTTTGGCAGAAGCTCCACCGAAAAACCAAGCGGTGTGGCGGTCTTTCAGCCCAGCTCTCGACCAGGCCTTCCTCACGAGAGCTGTGCTCTTCCTCCTGTAATTGCTCTTGCCGAAATGAGGGAGTTAATCACAGAGAGAGGTACTTCACGCAGGCCAAATTGCCAGGATCTGGCCTTTTGAGGCACTGCAAGTCCCGTAAGGTGTTCAAGGTTAGTAATAAACCATTAGCTTCCAATGAAAATTGGAGCTAAGGCTGAGGACTTCCTGCTTCAAAATGGCATTTTTTTTGTGATGAGATGCTGTCATTATCTTGGCTGATGTGCAATAGAGCATCACTGGCTCTAGCGGGAGCAGGCTGGGAGCTCTTTAGACCAAGACTGACATTATTTTATCTACTTCAGAATAAGCCAAAGAATTTTTAAGGGTGGTAAAGCAGGAAACCTCATGTCCATTTTCAGTAAAGGCTACTTATAATCCGTCCTTACCAAACATTGGGCCTGATCCTTGCGCCTAACTGTGGGTTTTTTTCCCCTCGCAGGCTGCTCCATTGATGTGAGAAGGCAAAAACCATTGAGCGCACAGGCCCGCAGGGACAAGGAAAGATTCCTGCGCACCAGTAGGCAATTTCTATTGCAGTTCCACAGTCTCTGTGCCGGCAAAGTTTCCTATTGACTTTTGGGAAGACAAGATCAGACACAGTACATGGTTGTTGCCCTAGCTGGCTCCCCGTTGGGGCTGCGGGGGGGTCGTGGTGATGCGCTGCTCAGCGACGGGCAGTGGGGACTCCAGGAATGCTTGCCTTCCACAAATCATTTCACGACCAAGGCAAAAGCATCATCGTCTGACAACAGGAGGAGTTTCTGGGTCCAGACGCTGCAAATGTAACACCGTTTTCTCCAATAAATGTCTGCTGTTCCGATTAAAAGCTCAGCAAGGAAAACACAGGCATCATGCTATACACAGTTCCTAGACTTCCTCCGATAGGAATTGCAGCTCTTCTTTTTCTAAAGTGAGACATTATTTGGGGAGACACGAGATTATGTAGCCTGCTTTATGTTATTCTGCTCAGGTATCCCTGCAGATCAGGACTCGCTTTGAAAACGAAAGGCCGCATTTTACTGCAAGTGGGTTGACGTCAATTCCACCCTCAGGGCTAACCAAAAACCATCAAAATACTCTCTCCTCTTTTGCCTTAGTCTTTCCCAGAAGTTATGAGTCAGCAAAAGCTTTCTGAGGATGGTATATAGAAAAAAAAAAAACCACATTTGTATTGTCCCAACAAAATGGTTAAGATCACTGTAACCCAAAATTGCTTCTTAGATGAAGGGAAGAATGCTCAGGGAAATACCTTAAAAGTGTCACATTTTAAACAGAAAGGATTCAGCTTTATTTTGTAGGTACAGCAAATCATTGGGGAAAGTGCTAAACTGAAAATGTGGTTGTCTAGTAAAAGAATGAAATAAAGCAAATAACAGGTTGGGCTAAAAAATGGAAAAGTAATTCACATAAATCCTTTTCACTCCTGGATTAAATTGTTTGTTACTGAATCTAAGTTTTCTAACCATCTAAGTTTTCTACATCTAATTTTTATACAGGTTGTCACTGCTTAATGAATTTACGGTGAAAATCCCTGCTGCCCAGTTCCTGACAGAGTTAATGGAAGGACGTGGCATCAGGGGTGGTCTCTAGCAGAGTCTGTCTCCCTAACTTCAGGGTCTAAAAGTACGCCTAAGAAATCTCTCCTTGGGGCTTTTAGAGTCAATACTGGTCTTCAGAGCCTGCACAGGGCTCCCAGGAGCCTGCTCAGGTCTCACTCAGCATCTCACACCTGGGCGCAGGTTCAGTGCCGGGGTGTGAGGACCTGCATCCCGGCCTGCAGGAAACACTCAGTAAGGGAACCGACGGCAACCCCACCCTGCGCTTTTACTGCCGTCGGCACAGGAATGACAAAGACTTGGGAGAATAAAGCCTAGCAGACGGCAAGTTTTCGAGTTTTACCAGAAAGTTCTGCCAGATTTCCCCAGTCTGAGGCACTTGCTGGTCTCTTCTCTCAGCGGGTACTACCGCAGGTGATGCAGCACCTTTGGCTGAGTCTGTGCAGGTTACTGGAGCAGGGCCAGGACGTTCCAGCCAGCAGTTCAGTCCCTGGCTTTGCAGGGGGAAAGAGCTTAGGCACGCTCTGTGCCACCCGGCCGCAGGGCTAGAGGGCAGGCCTTGCCCTCTTTTATTTACTAGCTTAGACGGAGTGTATGAGATGAGGGCTTAAAAGAGTGAACAAAAAAGTCTTTCTCACTAGCAACTTTAGAGTTTTTAATCTGAGCAGCGTTTTGACCTACCATAAGATCTGGTTTAAATCATATTTGCAACATCACGGCAACAGTGCCCTGATGAATGGTGTGCCTGAAGGTATTAATCAACTACAATGTCACATTTGTGATTATTAGAATTGATAAAAATAATGCAGCTAGCAGAGTCTGGAAAGCAGGGGTTTTTTTAAAAATGAAATGTCGTCTTCTTATCAGTGAAACGATACTGGTTCTCACAATACTTGCACTCACACCAATACAGCATTACTGATCCACAGCCTCGCTGAGCCTTGTTGGATCCTGGTGGCCCCAGCTGCTCCAGCAGGCAAATGTTTGATGCAATCCCCCGTCATAAGCTGGGAAACACATTAGTCCAGACTTTTTATATGGTACTATGCACATAAAGGCAATCTGTTTCAGCCCTTAAATACAAATTGAAATGATAGTGATAAACTATAATATAACCAGGATGTAAATGTAGCATAACTATAAAAAAATAAGCAGCAATACTGCTCCTGAAATCTGCTGTGCGTGTTATTGGTCTAAATAAATCAGTTGCCAGTGAATTTGAACCTGAGTGAAGAAGTGCTTCTGAACTCTGGACAACATTGACCTCTGACGGGCTCTTTGAAGGCACTAAGCTGTGGGATCATCAGAAAACTCTATACTGCTCTGAGACAGGCAGACAGCAAAGATGCACTTAAATTATTTTTTTTACAGTACACAGCTCAAAAAAGGGAGGGAGAGAAACAATTCAGGTTCCCCTCGGAACTGCAGATGATAAGGAAAGTCAATTTGTCGTGGCGTTGTACAGGCTTTTAGGAAAGAAGACTGTGACTTGTTTTCTTTTTTTCCTTTTTTCCCCCTCCAGTGTTAGTCTAAAACAGGAAAAAAGAGTCCAGCTTAGAGTCCAATTTTTCCCCACAGTTTGATAGATTTTAAATGGAGCATTATCTTAAAAGGCTAACTTATGACTTGAAGATGAAAGCTACTGGAAACCTGGCAAATAACTAATTAGCAGCCTATTTGACTGGGCTTCTTGTTTCTTTGGTTGCTGGAGAATAAGGAGGAGTTTGTGCTCTTCGTTACTCTCTCTTTGCCAGACTAAAGAAGAGAACAAACAAACAAGCAAGCAGGAAGGTGCCTTTCTTGCTGCAGTATTTCATCTCCATAGTGAATGATGATCTCTTTAGGCAGAATTACACCAGGAGCTTTCAAAATTAAGCAAAGGGACTTCGCTCAGCTGGCAAATTTGCCAGCTCTCGTATTTCTGAAAGCATCTAAACACACAATGTTTTATTACTTCTTACATGTCTTTATTTGTATACAAAATGTTATAATTTATCAATATTGTGCAGCAAAGTACAGATACACACATACATACATACACACCCACCCCCTCAACACACACACGTACAAATACAGCACAAACACAACTTTCTTTCTCTCTGCCCGTCAGAAAGGCAACACTGTTTTGGCAGGTCAGCAGCTAGAAATAAGGTGCTATAAATAAGCGGTATCGGAATGTCTTCACCTTACAAACGTGATGTGCAAATTTATATACAACCACTTTTTTTTTTTTCCCCATGGAACCCAAAACTCCGTACCCCGAACCACTGTCAGAGATACAAACATGTATAAAGTGCTAACACTTAAGCATGTTTCCAACAACTTCACAACATAGTTTGAAGTTCAGAACAGGCACTGTAATAGTTCACTGGGTAGATTGTCACTGGGTGCGGTGTGACAGAGAGAAAAGTCACTCAGACATCACTGGGGGACCGGGAGCGAAAGGACACTTTAGCCTGGAAGCAGCCACAGAAAAGCACCCACATGGACCTCTGGATTTCCTGGTTTCTGTAGGCGTAAATGATGGGGTTGATCATGGAGTTGTAGGTAGCAGGTAGAAGTGTGGCGTACGTGTACACGGAAGGGTAGTTGGGATCCCCCACTACACAGTAGATGACAAAAGGCAGCCAGCTGGCTCCGAAAGTCCCGAGGATTATAGCGAGGGTAGAGACCCCTTTTTTGGTGGCAACATAGTGTGAAGCAGTGAGAAAGTGCTGCTGGAGAGCTATCTGGTGGGCATGCCTGCAAACAATCTTGCAGATCTCGATGTAGAGATGGAGCATGATGAGGAAAATGAGAAAGAAAGAGGCGGACAGCAGCGTCACATTGCTCTTGGTCAAGGGTCTGACGACGCTGCAGGCGGCACGGTCGCGGAGGCAGTTCCAGCCCAGGACGGGCAGCAGCCCCAGGCAGAGGGAGACCCCCCAGGCGCCCGCCAGCATGGTGTGGGTGCAGAGCACCGTCCTCTCCGAGTAGTAGGTGAGGGCGTTGTAGAGGGAGAGGTAGCGATCGACCGTGATGGCCAGCAAGCTACTCACGGAGGCAGCGAAGGAGGCGACGAGGAAGCCCACCGTCAGCAGGCTGACCGTCTCGGAGCGGATCACGTACTGGAAAACGAAGTTGAGGATGAGGCCGAGGCCGGCCGGGAGGGCAGCCGCCGCCAGGCTGCCCACCAGCACGAACATGGGGGTGCGCAGGGCGGGCGAGTAGCAGATGATGGCCACCACCAGGGCGTTCTCGCAGGCGATGGCGGTGCCGGAGACGCAGAGCATCACGTCCCAGGGGTTGAGGGCGGCGGGCGCGGGGGGCCGCGAC